TGAAGGTGGATCTTTCCTTCCTTCCCCAGAGTCCGGATTGGTGTCGCCAACTCCCTCCCTCCCTCTCTCCTCCCCCCCCTCAGCCCAAAGTTATTAGTTTAGGTTCATTTAGGATGAGCTTAGCAACCTCACACCCCTGGAACCTGGAAGCTTAGAGCGCAAGCAGTCTGGCAAATGGAAATTCAATTGCTTTAATATACAGACTATTTTGCTGCAGCCGAACTCGAGCCTCTTATTAAGAATCTGATGGAATTTCTAAACAGGGAGAGAGGCCCTGAGGAGGGGGCATCGCCCAGCGCACACCAACATTGCTCTTGACATATTTATGGCTCCAATAAAATCTCCCATCTGGTATATTTTAAAATAAAATTGAAAATTTATCACTTTCCCGGAGTCGGTTTGTCGTTCTCCCCAGGAGGAGATAGCCAGCTCGAGATTACAGGCGGGCGGCTGCAGGCAGGCGGTGAGAGGTTAGGCTGGGTTTGGATTTAAATTTCAATACTTTCCCTATTACAGCTGTCTGCACTGGGAAAATTACTAGGGAGAAGCTGGCCAGCTCCTTCTGTTTTGCAAAGCATCCACTTGACTGTCTGCTGGGTCTGCAGGAGGGGTTTGCTCTTCTGCGCTGCTCTGCAAGGTCTGGAGGGACTGAGCCCTCCGGCCTGAAACTCAGCCTTGTTCGTACAACCACTCCAAGAGCCCAGAAGTCCAGAAATCGGATCTCTTTGTTAGAGTTCAGAGAGCAGGGTCAGAGCTTAGACTGGTCTGGGAGAGGGAGTCAAAGTTCCTTCTAAAACTAAGATCAAATCAGGTGCGGTGATGCATGCCAGCACAGCATTGGAAAGTGGAGGCAGGAAGATCGGTTCAAAATCATCGTCAGTCAGGGTTACACAAGACCCTATCTCAAAAATAAATGCATGACTAACTACATAAATATGTCTGACCTGGGCATGGTGGCGCATGCCTTTAATTTCAGAGTTGAGGAAGCAGATCTCCGCAAGTTTGAGGCCAGTCTGGCCTACATACTGAGTTCCATGATGTAAGTTACATGGAGAGACCCTGTCTCAAAACCAAACAAACAAACAAAAATAGGTCTGGAAAGACTACTTACTCGGTGGTTAAGAGAACTGTTTGCTACTCTTCAGAGGACCCGACCCGAGTTCTGTTTCCAGTACTTGCATTAGGTGTCTTACAATCATCTGTAACTTCAGGGCCAGGGAATCTGACACCCTTTCTGGCCTCCAAGGGTACCCATATATACACAGAGACACTTAAAAATAAATAGATAAGTGAAATAAATGAATCTTTTTTTAAAGAAGAAAAAAGGGGAAAGATAACATTGAGATCTAATGTGTAGCTCATGTCAGGATCATGGCTCTGTTTGTCAGCAATGCCTCAGGTATGGCCTGGGGTCAAGTTCAGCTCACGAACAAATCAAGTCTCATATTTTGTCATTGTAGAAGTCAATCCATATTTCTGAACCCGTTTCTTCTCCAATTGAAATGTGTTACCTGTCTACTGCAGGAGGCCATGCAGACGAATTTGACCCTCACCATAGCCACCATATGTAAATAGTATATATATATATATATATATATATATATATATATATATAGTATTATACACACACACATATATATATATATATGTGTATATATTTTAGTTGGGTTCCTATGTATCCCACGCTGGCCTCCAACTCACTAAATAGCCAAAAATAACCTTGAATTTTGCCTCTACCTTCCAAGTGGTGGGAATGTAGGCATCTCACAACAAAAACGAGAATACTGCAGATGTTAGGGAGCCTGTCCAACCTTGGGCCCAGATTACTCCCGATTCCAACCAGTTCCCAGGTTCCAGCAGAATAAGGAAGTAATGACAGACTGCACTTTCCAGTGTTAGAATCCAGACCAGAGGCAGCTTACGCCATGCCACTTGCCCTACAGTGGTTTCTCTTTCCTCACTCACAGCAGATTCTGTATACGGGTGCCTGGCTACCAGATCCTGTGAACAGTCACACCCCAGACCCACGGATTCACATTAACTAAGCGGGCCACTTCTCCTCACATGCCACCCCGACCCTCAAGGTCACACAGTCTGTCCATCTCCAGGCAGCCCAGCCTGACTACAGCCTGCACTATGGACTGCTCATCAACCACATGGGATAGAAGCCCCGTTCCTCTGAAACCCATGAGAAGGGACTTCCTGTCTGCTATGTGGGCCTGAACTCTCCTCAGAGCCCCCCATCCAGATGTTTGTTTGTTGTGTTGCTATCTCACCCAAAGACAATCTCCCTCAGTGTCCTCCTTGAATGCCAAGTCTGAAACCTTTCATCCAGGCCCTTTGTTATTTTTTTTCCTTTGCTATCTGTCTTAGTCAGTGCTCTCCTGCTGTGAAGAGACACCATGACCATGGCAACTCTTATAAAAGAAAGCACTTCATTGGGACTGGCTTACAGTCTCGGAGGTTTAGTCCATTATCAGCATGGCAGGAAGCATAGCCGCATGCAGGCAGACATGGTGCTGGAGAAGTAGTGGAAAGTTTTACATCCAGATCTGCAGACAGCCAGAAGAGTGCCACTGAGCCTGGCTTGGGCTCTTGAAACCTCAAAGCCCACCCCAGTAATGTACTTCCTCCAACAAGGCCACACCTCTTAATCCTTTTAAGTAGTGCCACTCCCTGGTGGCCAGTCAATTCTGTGAGCCCTTCTTATTCAAAACACCACACTATCAGAACCCTAATTTTATTCTAAGGGCAACTGACCCAGCTAAAAGACTACACTTCCTAGCTTCCTTTGAACCAGGCAAGGCCAAGGAGAAACTGGCAAAGGAATTGATTGGATAGGGCTCCTGGGGAGAATTTTGCACTTAGGGAGACAGATGAAGTGTTAATATTCTGATCCTGCCCTTTGGTGCCACCCTATGCCCTGAGGTAAAAGCCTATTCTTAAGTGAAAACCCCGCCTATTTTCTCTCTCTTCCGCTTTACTCCCATGAGGTGCACACCTCTCGAACCCCTCACCCCCTTCTCTGTCTATCTCTCTCTTTCCCTCCTCTCTTCCCCCCACCAAATAAAACTCTTCACTGAGCGCTGTCTGCGTGGCATCTCTGTCTTTCACCCGCCGTGGGGCACCTTGGCTCTACCGCCAGCACGTGTAAATCATAAAACATCAAGACCATGGGGTCTTTCCATTTTCCAGCTTCTTGCTGATTCCCTAGAAGGAAGACAGGTTGGGGCCCAGCAGCCATTTTGGAAAATGAAGCAACAGTGAAAATAACCATATGTAAAGAATAATGCCACTGGAAATTTCAGGGGAGCCTTACTTTGGGGCACATGTTACCCAGGTTCTCTCTTTGGAGTCTAAGTCTCATTAATAAAAGAATTTAAGAATAGACTCAGCCTGGCGGTGGTGGCGCACGCCTTTAATCCCAGCACTTGGGAGGCAGAGGCAGGTGGATCTCTGTGAGTTCGAGGCCAGCCTGGGCTACCAAGTGAGTTCCAGGAAAGGCGCAAAGCTACACAGAGAAACCCTGTCTCGAAAAACCAAAAAAAAAAAAAAAAGAATAGACTCAAAAGGAAGCTCAAAGACAATTTTACTAGAGTTTAAAAGAAAAGCCTACTGCCAGGCATAGTGATGCATGCCTTTAATTCCAGCACTCCAGACAGAGGCAGGAGGATCTCTGTGAGTTCAAGGACAGCCTGGTCTACATAGAGAGCTCCAGGACAGCCAGGACTACATAGAGAGACCTTGTCTCAAAAAACCAAAACCAAAAACCAAAACAAACAAATAAACCCAGACAGGAAAACTGTAAATCTCAAAACTGCCCAGAGAAGGAAGATGGAAAAGAAGAGAGAAAGCCATGTCATCTGTAAATGTGTGTGTGTGTGTGTGTGTCTGTCTGTCTGTCTGTAAGTGGAAACTTCATAGAACGAAGAGTGAAAAACCCCAAAGTATCAGAGAAAATATATTTAAGCTCTTGCCAGCATCTGAAAGAAAGAGGCAGAAAAAAAGAAAGAAAACAAAAAACAAAAACATTATGCCTACTGAATTGTGCAGACCTAACAGAACCTTATGCAGCCTCATAGTAACCACACAGAGGGCAAGGATTCTGGCTAAGAAAAGCATATTATCTCATTAAAGGGATATACAACACCCCCCCCCCTTCACATCTTCAGCATGACTCAAGGCCAATCTGATACCCGAACAGATTGTCTACAGACCCTTGGCCTGGTGACTGACCTGCCAACTGGATTAATTCTTAGGGAAGGAGACAACGTCTCCACCCAGAGGTAGATTCCAATCTTTAGGCTAGGAGGAAAAAGAAAGCCATTGTGCCGGACAATGTAGCCATGACCCCATCCTAGACCCTCACCTTCCTTTCCTCCACCCAGTGTAGAGGGAGCAGTTTCTGAGCTGCCTGGCACCAGCTGGTGAGTGGTTGCCCTTGGCTGTGGCTCTGCTGTCCAAGGAGAATGCCTTCTGAAAAAATAATGGGATGTAACAGTGAAACCCAACTGCTCTGTTTGGGTGGCTAAAGGTGGATCTCTGCCTCCAGCAGGCCAATCCAAACAAAACAACCGAAGATGTTCTAGAGCTCTGGAGCACTGATGATTTCAGTCCCTGGGTATCTAAGGGAGGCAGCGCTAGGCAGGGGAGGGCTAATTTGGGGACAAGGCCAGCAGAACTGTCTGGGAAAAGAGGAGATTCTAGAGACAGCTGGGGCCTTTGTGGGTGGGGCTTGGCTCACAAGTATAGGGCTGCCACATGGAGCCCCTCTCCTAAGATGTAGGGATGGGGCTGAGGATGGCTCAGTAAACAAAGTGATTGCTGCATCAGCGTGAAGACCTAAGTTCAGTTCCTCAGCACCCAGATCATATGAACCCCAGCTCTAAGACAGTAGAGGCAGGAGGGCCCTTACAGCTCCCTGGCTAGCCAATCTAACTGAATCAGTGGGTTCTGGGTTCAGCAAGAGACCCTGTCTCAAAAAATACACTGTAGCAAAGTATGGTGACACATGCCTTTAATAACAACATCTGGGAGGCAGAAGCAGGTGGATCTCTGTGAGTTCAAGGCCAGCCAAGGCTGTATAGTGAGACCTACATATATGCCTATGAATTTGCACACATGTATCTGGACATGTAGACAGACAGAACACACACATACACACAGGCAAGCAAACACACACACACACACACACACACACACACACACACACACACACACACACTCACTCTGCAGGCAGCCCTGTCCTTCCCTTCAGTTGTGTAGAAGCTCCTTGACCCTCAGTCCAGCATAAAAGGTCCCAGGGAAGGGCTTCTTTCTGCTCTCGGGTCCCCCTATTTTTCTCTTTCCGTTTTTCCTCGTTCACTCACATTTTCAAACTCAGAAAATAATGGCAGTTCAGAGGTGGCATCTGCTGTCCTGGTCACTGCGCTCTATGGGGACTGCCATTGTCTTGCAAAGGGCAAAGTTTCATGGTCTGTTTTTGAAGGGGGTGGTTACACTAGAGATGGAGATGGACCCAGGCCTCTTACATGATCAGCAAGTGTTCTCCCACTGAGTGACACCCTGATGGTCCGTTGCTTTTTCCTAAGAAGTCCTCCTTGGATAGCAAGGCCCCAGCTGAGGGCAACTACTCACCAAAAAAGTGCCAGGTAGGACAGGGACTCCCTCCCCACAAGATGGGTGGAGGACTTGAAGGAGGGGTCCATGGTGGGGTCACGGCCATTGTGTCTAGAACCCTTGACTGACTGAGACTTACCTTGAGGCTCCCCCACCCCATTCTGTTGTTCAGGGCCCAGCACCCCCTGACCTCAGGCTGTCTGTCCATGCTAGAGGACCTGGATCTGGCCTCTGAAATCTTGTTCAGCATCTGGTTTCTAAGATTCTCCTTATCTTAGTTACAATCCTATTGCTATGATAAAATATCTTGACTTATAGAAGAGCTTCTTTGGGCTTACAGTCCCAGAAGGAACCATGACTACTGTCCTTCATGGCTGGGAATCAAGGCAATATGCAGCTGGCTTTGTGGCAGGATCAGGAAACCGAGAGCTCACATCTCAACCACAAGCAGGAAGCAGAGTTAACTGGAAGTGGTACGAGGCTTTTGATCTCAAAGCCCATCCCCTAGTGACGTACTTCCTCCAGCAGGGCTGCACCACCTACATTTCCCTAAACAGCACCATCAACTAGGACCAAGTGTTCAAATGTCTGGGTCTTTGGGGGACAGCCTCCTTTAAATCAGGACACTGCTTTCCAAGGAAATGGCTGGGAATGGAGGAAGGTAACCAGTCCCTTCTTGCCAGGAAGCTCCAAAGAGGGGGATTCATGCCTGCCCCTCCTCTAGCCCAGAAGCTGCCCTTGGCATGTGAGACAGCTGGGTGGAAGAGCCCTTCCCAGGCTCGCAGTGCAGCAGGTAGGGAGCTGAGGAGGGCAAACTCTCCCTCCTTCTGCTTCCGTCCAGAAGAAATGCAGCATCTCAGCTCAGGTCGCAAGCCTAGGCCAAGTCTTTGCCTCAGGAGGTCATGTAAGTGGCAATCTTCTGGGCCTGCCCTGGGGCTGTTTGTGCACGGCGTGGAAGCGCAGGTGGTCCCCACAAAAAACAAAACCAAACCAAACTGGAAGCTGTTGACTGGGGTTTCACGAGGAGGATTCATCTGCAATGCTGATGAAGCATCTAAGAAATGAGAATGAAAACAGGGTTTGATTTTCACAAAGGCCAATTCAGAGGCACATTTCCTGGCCAGACTAGGGTGCCAGCATCTGTGTGGGAGACCCTGGTTCTCAGCTGGCCAGAGACCACACAGGTCCTGCCAAAGTCAGAAGGGTGCACACACATGCCCACTAGGAAACTCCCTGTACATATGTGTGCGTAGCCGCACTCAGGTAAAAGGTCCAGTCTGTGCCTAGATCTGAGTCAGGAAAATGCATCTGTTCTGTGAGACTGCTGAAGTGGGGTGGAGGGTGGTTCTATGACAAAAGAAGCCACAGGCCAGAGGGGAGTTAGTGCACTCTGAAAGAGGGACTTCCAGCCTAGTCTTGAGAGGCCAGGGAGGGTTTCTCGGAAGAGATGCTATCTCATAGAATGGCACAATCCAGTGTGGTAGCTACCAGCCTTATGTACCCATTTACATTCAAATTAATGAAATGCAAGCTACAAATTGAGTTCCTCGGGCTGGGGAGGTGGCGCAGTGGTAAAGGGTTTGCTGCACAAGCATGGTGAGCTGAGTTTAATCCCCACATCCACGTGAAAACACAGACTCAATAGTGCATACTCATACTCCAGGGCTGGGGAGGCAGAGAGGGCATGTGTGGAGCTCACCGGCAAGCCTGTCTAGTTGAATTGGTGAATTCCAGGTTCCGTGAGAGACTGTCTCAAAAATCAAGGGGAAAAGCAGTAGAGGAAGGTACCTTACGTCAGCCTCCGGCCTTCACATGTGCGAGAGAGCGCGTGCACACACACACACACACACACACACACACACACACACACACACACACACACACACATCATTTCTTTAGCCACACTTAGCCACAATTTAAATGGCCACTGGCTACCTCACTGAATACTGAGAGATAGAATGTGACCCTTGCCACAGAAAAGCTTAGCAGTCGGTTCCACGAGGTCACAGAGAGGTGTCCCTGTCCCAGGGGACAACTTCAGGGTTTAGAGGGGCTGGAATCCTGAGCACAGGTGTGAAGAGGGAGGTAGCACACAGAGCTCCCCAGCAAGGACTCAGATGGCAGAGGCAGGGGAGGACAGCTTTCCTTGTTTGAAGTGCCTGCTTGGAAACACGGCCTTTCAAGGAGGGTGTCACCCGCTGGAAGGGTTCAGCTGCCAGCATCTAGGGCAGTCAACGCAAGAGGAGGGCCTGGGCATGAGAGCACAGGGCTCTGGCTTGAGTATGGGTGGTTGAGCGGTCCCTGTGGAGAGAAGAAGGAGCTGGTGTGGCCTAGGCTGGTGGAAAGGGGGAGGAGCTGCCTTGGGGCTGTGCTGAGTGTAAAGGGAGATGGAAAGCCATGCACCTGGCAGGTGGGTGAAGGAACCTGGTCCTCTGGGGCAAGTGGAGGCTGGTACTGACTGTAGTCATCAGAAAGAGATGGGGGTGAGATTTCTGCAATGCTAAGCTTCACAGAGTTCTCAGTAAGACAACAGAACACCCTGGAAAGCAAAGGCCAATGGGTAGCCATGTGTACAAGAAGAGCAGGGGAAACAAGTGCCCCCCCACCTCCGAGACATAGTGAATGTGCCTTTGGTTCTGTCCCTTGGTGTGTGGGAACACGGCTGTCAGTCTAGGCAACATTGCCCTGTGCCGTGGGACACAGGGCAATGTCTGGGCACAGAGGGGACAGGGCTTGGAGAAGAAGGAAATAAATGTGGCAATGAGGGAGGAAGCAGGGCCACCATCACCACTCACGTCCCCAACCCACAGGCTCTTCAACAAGCATGGCCTTGTTCCCTTTTCCTGGACATGAAGGTCTGTATCTCTCTTGAAATTGTTGGGCAGGCTGTAGAGGTGTCACGTGGGATCTCTGAGGTCAGGCCATAAACGCACTGTGGCTTCTGCCTTACCTGGGACACTTCCCTTGGAGCCCAACATGTCAGTGCTTTCTAGAACAGAGCCGCTGTGCCCCGAGGAGGTCTGGGCTGGGTGAAGAAGCCTTCGGCAGGTTTTCTGGGGGAAATCCAGCCCAGCTCCCAGCCAGAGGAGTGTATGGACAAGTTTCTACATGATCTTGATCCCAGCCACCGAGGCCCCAGATGTCACACAACAGAATAAACTGTCCCTTCTGTGACCTGTTCACACGCCTGACCTACAGGACCCGTGAGCACAAGGAAAGGAGCATTGGTTACACCACCGTGTTTGGGGTGTCGTGACCAGGAAACAGTCAGGAAGCAAACAGGCCCGTCTGTGGGCAGTGGTGGGGACCTAGCATTAACCGGATGTGGGATGGAGAGACTCAAAGGCCTGGGGGAGGGGAGGGGTGACTTTCTGGTCAGTGGATCAGGCAGATGAGGTGAATCAGGCTGAGCAGGCCCTGATGTTCAGGGACTGGGCATATGAGGGCAGGGATGTGGGTGATGTTTTGGATGTTGGGGGAGCTCAGGTGGGGATGAGAAGCTCCCCAAAGGCTCTGGTGGGGTGTGTGTGTGTGTGTGCCGCGCGCACACACATGTTCTCTCTCCCCTTAGCCAGCTGTCTCTAAGCCTTGGTTTGCAGATCTGGCAAATGGTAGTACCTATCCTCTCAGCTCTGCAGCAAATGCCAGGGCAAAGTAACATCTCTTCTTTTTATCATTTTGGTCCTTTTTAATTCTTTTTTTTAATTAAATTTTTTTTATTTATATGCATGGGTGTTTTGCCTGTATGTCTGTATGAGGGTGTTGGGTACCCTGGAACTGGAGTTACAGACAGTTGTGATCTGCCACGTAGGTGCTGGGAATTGAAACCGGGTCCTCTGGGAAAACAGCCAGTGCTCTTAACCGCTGAGTCATCTCTGCAGCCCCAGTTTTTATTTTCTTAATGAGGGATCCTTCCATGTACATGACTTAAGTGTTGACCAGTTTTAATAAAGGACAAGATTGTTTGCATCATCCTGTAGACAGAGAGACTGAAGTGGGAAAGGTCTGGGAGTAACCAAGGCCTCAGAGAACTGCCTTCCGCTTGTGTCCCTACATCTCTCTCCACAATTGTCTATCCTCTCCTGGATCTGAGCCGTAGGAGGTGGGGGGCATGCTGGCGCTCAGGCTGGAGTCTGGTGTGGACCTGTGCTGGATCAAGCATGCTTCCGCAGCCCCAGCTCCTCAGCAACCTCTTGAATTCCAGAGACCCAGAGACACTGTAGTCCTGAAAGCCTGAGCAGCCAAGAGGACCTTACAAACGTGGAGGGGAGGCTCTCTGTCCTCTTCCCCACTGGAAATGCCTGCCCTGGGTCAGAACAGTACTCAAGAGCTCCCACCAACACACACACACACACACACACACACACACACACACACACCACGTACCACCCTCCACTCACCCCACATACCATACACACACACACACTCACACCACATACCACACCACACACACACACACACTCATACACACACACACACATGCTCACACTACATACCATACCACATACACACATACCACACCACATACACACACACTCATACCATGCCACGCACACACACACCACCCTCCACTCTCCCCACATACCATACTACACACACACACACATTCATACCCACATACCACCACACACACACACACTCACACCATACCACACACACATACCCCACATGTCATCACATACACACACCACACACATCACACATACCATACCACATACACACTCACACCATACACACACACACACACACACACACACACACACACACACACACACACACACACACACACACACCACATGTCCCAGCCTCTTCCTGGACTTTTGGCTGCATGCTCTGCCCTCACCCCCAAGCCTGCAGAGCCTTGGATCTGCTGCCCTCCTCAGCATCTGGTTCCTCCTCAGGATGCAATGCTGTTGCCCCTAGCAACTGAGTTCCAGGCCCAGCCTGATCCTCCTCCCCCTCTCCTCTGGACTTCTGCTTTCTTCTTCCTCTCTGCTCCCCCCCCCCCCCAACCTTGGAGCCAGTGCCCAGACCCAGAACTCCCGCAGAAGATCATGTGCCAGCTGGGTGGCCCAGCCAAGCTCTCTGGCCTTCCTGGCTTGCTTGGTGACCAGTGAACATAGTCTGTCAGTATTCTACCTGCCTAGCAGAATTGGAACTAGGCAAGCTGGAGACTGAGTGCTGGAAGTACCAGGGACATACTAGACTTCCAAGTGGAGCACTCTGCACACCCCAGGCACAGAGTCAGCAACTAGAGAGATGGAGGTGACTCCAGGGATAATGATAACTATTTGAGAGGGTGAGCTCCCCCAGGGCTGGAGGGATGCAGGAGGAGGCTTTATGAGGATGGTGCTGGTGTGGCCCAGGGCAGTAAGACCCGCAGTATTGACCTGCCTGGCTGTTTCTCTTAGCCTGGTCATTTTTTTCTGTCCCCTCAGCTTCCCTTTTCTCCACTCTCTCCCCTCCCAGAGGCTCCACACACCCCAGATGAGTCCCAGAGAAGACAGCATTAGGGAGAGGCTCTCGGAGAAAATGACATCATCAACCTCGGGGCAAGTCCAATGCTGGGCACAGAGAGATGTAGCCGGGCTCTGCAAGGCAGTGGCCGCCAGACCCAGCGCTCTCCTGCCTAGCTCCTTTGTCTTGAGACACCCATAGCTGCCCTGCAGCCCTGCCCCACTCTCCCCCTGCCCCAGGTCTCCTGAACTGACAGTGGTATCCAGCTGTATCTGTATCTCCCTGTGCCCACCCCCAACCTCCTCACACTCTTGCCTTGGCCTCTGCACTGCCTATTCCTGCCCTGGGGAACGCTCTGCTCTGCCTTTCCCTGGGATTCAGCTGAGAGGCGTCTCCTCCAGGAGGTCTTCCTTGACTGCCCAGGTTGCCTGGGGTTTGCTTCTGTTAGCCTCCTGCCCCGAGGTGGCTGGCTGGCAGCTTTCTCCTCCTTCTCAGTGGTCACAGTTTGTTTACAATTTTCTCCTGAGGGCGCCTGGAAGATCCTCGGGCCAGGAATTTTGTGTTCCGTATTGGCTAAGGATAACTAAACAGGAAGACTAGCATAACAACACCCTGCCTCTCTCTGGGTCTGTTTTCCCATCTGGAATGTGAGGGAGACGGGCCAGGACCTGTGGTTCCTATTGAATAGCAAGGGTGACCAAGTCTGGGCTATTAGCAGGGTCAGAGGACTATCTGACTCAGCTTCCTGTCCAAGTCCCAGAGCTGAGCAATGGGATCTTGAACAGCAGAGACACAAACAGAGGCTGTGGGGTCTGGAACAGCCTGAGACGCCCAGCCCTGGCCTCTGGGGTCCCTGGGGCTCTGCTGCCCTCCAGTGGCTGGAGGCCTCGGGCACTTAGAATCCTCAATTTCTGGCTCTCCACAAACATCTAAAGTAATGCAAGGCCTAAGGAGTGGCGGGGGGCCTGTTGCTGTCACTCAGAAAATTATGAGCAGTTACCAGAGCAGAACTTGGGGATCCCAGACCCCCAACACTTCCAGTCTCTGGATGGGGCACTGTTCTTTGGCAAGAGTCAAGCCTAGGATGGGGAGTCCCTGCACCTGTCAACCTGCCTCAACTTTGGCGACACTTGCCGTGTGGTGGCCTTTCTCTGCTGGTCATTTTCTTCCCTTTTTTTGGTTTTTTCGAGACAGGGTTTCTCTGTGTAGCTTTTCACCTTTCCTGGAACTCGCTTTGGAGACCAGGCTGGCCTCGAACTCACAGAGACCGGTCTGCCTCTGCCTCCTGAGTGCCGGGATTAAAGGCGTGCGCCACCACCGCCCGGCCTCTGCTGGTCATTTTCATCTGAACTTTTTTTTTTTTTTTTTTTTTTTCCAAGACAGCGTTTCTCTGTGTAGCTTTGTGCCTTTCCTGGAACTCACTTGGTAGCCCAGGCTGGCCTCGAACTCACAGAGATCCGCCTGGCTCTGCCTCCCGAGTGCTGGGATTAAAGGCGTGCACCACCACCGCCCGGCTGTGCTGGTCATTTTCAGCACAGTCGTTACTGACCCTTTGTGAAGTGCTCTATGATGCCTGCTCAGGGGTCCTTCCAGATTCAGAAAACCGTACTGGGGCTAGAAGGATGCCTTAGTCCCCTCCCTCCTTAATTAATCAAATACTTAAAATAATGGTGGTGGTCATGATTGATGGACAGAGCATAGCTAATTACCCTGGAGATTAAAATGACTGTTTCTGTTTAAAAAGGCTGCAAATGAGTTAATTATTTCCTTTGCTCACCTCTCTAACCTTGTTACACTTCTAAATGAATAGCAATATTGATCTTGGAGCTGATTTTGGTGTTCCACCGCCCGAGTGGGTTTAATTAGGGTCTGAGAACGCTGCAGTGCCTCCTCCTTCTGACCGAGGAAATTAGCCTTGGGTTTTACTTACATTTCATAGCCGTGTCCTCCACACACACAGAAGGCCTGCAGCATGGAAAGCGATGGCTGCCAGCTTGCCGGCTTGGCACTGCCCTGGCTCCCAGCTCTGCTCTGTCCTGAGAGGCTTGCACTGACCCTTACCTGTGATCTCCTGCAAGATGCTGCAGGAAGGCCCTTGGGAGCGGCTCATTTTTGTCTTCTCTGTCGCACCTGCAGGCTTGGATGTGACAAGGAAGGGCCCAGTATCACTTGGTGAGGTGGGGGCAGGTCTGGGACCTGGAGCTGTCAGGTTTTCACAGCTCTGGACCTTGATGTCAACCAAGCTGAATAAACACTGCTCTGTCCCTGCCCAGCCCTTCATAAGCCTAAGACTCCCTGGTGTCCTCCATTGTCACCTCGGGCTCTCTCCGAGTCTCTGCTCCTCCGTGTGCCGCTGGAGCATAGGCTACCAGCCCAGAGCAGGAGACCAGCATGCTAACCCTGGATTAATTACTGGCAGATGGGTGACCTTGAGCTAGTCAGGTGACCTTGAGCTAGTCTGGCATCCCTCCTCTGAATCTGACCATCTGTTTCATGTCACTTCCTGTCACCTCCCCCAGCATGAGCCTTCAAGGGCACACAGGTGGGAGCTGGGCACTGAGGGGGGTGGAGAGCGATCAGGGCAGACACGCTGCAGGTACATAGGACTGAGTCCATGGATGAAACCGGCCCTACCTTATTTGAAGTGAAGCCCTCCCCTAACCTTGCTGCCTCTTTGCCATGGCCAGACCTGCCTTTGGACTGCTTCTTCCCTGCCCCAACCCCAGCTCTCTCCTCTCCTTGCCATGCTTGATGGGTCTGGCTAACGAATTACCACTGAGGCCATCTGCAACCTGGAGATGCCACAGAGAGCAGAGTGTGGCAGGGACTCTGCCTGCCTCCCGTGCCTCCCGCTCCTCCTCCTCTGCCGCCACGCCTCTGGCTCTGTGCTGCACGGTTTCTTTCCCTCCTCACTCTCCTTCACAGCTACACCCCTCTTCTGAACCTTAAGAGCTAGGTTAAAGAAGAACAAAATCATTTATTTGCAGAAAAATGGTTGGGACTGGAAATCATGATAAGTGAAATAAGCCTGACTCAGAAAGACAAAAGACAGTATCATACATTTTCTCTGCTTTGAGGCATCTACATCTCTCTCTCTTTCACATATGTGTGTGTATGTGTGTGTGTGTATGTATATATATGTGTGTGTATATGTGTGTATGTATATATGTGTGTGTATGTTTATGTGTGTGTATGTATGTGTATGTATATATGTGTGTGTGTGTGATATTCTTATGGATATGTATATGGCATGAGAGTGGAAGGGGAACAAATTGGGAAGGGGACCAACAGATGGAAAAAATGGGGAATAAATGACTGTAAGGGAGGTAAATATGATGGCTATATTACCTCCATGGATGATATGAAACCAATTATTTTATACATTTACTATGCAGTAATGAAGTGATTGAGATAAAAAGCCCCAGGGCATGTCCTGAAGCTTTACCCTGCTTCCCTTCCCTTCCCTCACTTATATATCGGCCCACCCTTCCCTCCCTAGGGGAGGCCCCCTCTAGAGAAGATGTGTCCCAGATAGCTGAGTTAGCCTCGTTCTGTTTGCGTCCCTCCAGGGAGCAACATGGTCAGATGAACACTTGGGAAAGGGTGGTCTGGCTGTCATTTAGAGGACAGCAACAGAGGACAATGGTGGATGGGGGTCTGTGAGGCAGCAGTTAAGTCTAAGAGAAAAAACAGACCTGCGGCAGAAGGGTGGGGGTAGGCCTTGCAAGGAGGGGTTCGAGGCCAAGGCCGTTTTCAAGTTGGACGATCAGGTGTCTTTGGCTCATATTGGTGATGTCGGAGAGGTTTCCAGGGAACAGTCAGTCTGTGGGGTTGAGGCTGCAATACCTACAGGGATATCCAGGAGCAATGAGATGGAAGGAAGGTAGGTGATTTGCCCAAATTGCTATAGCCAATATGTGATCTTTCCCTTTGGGACATGGATAATCTGTATTGCAAGGAGGCCATTAGTGACTCCATGCTGGGGCTGGGTTATGATGCACGGATGCACGGATGAAGGTCAGTCAAGGGGACACGGGAGGGGAAGGGGTGTTAAACCTCACAATTCACACCTGGTGTGCTGGGCAAAATTGACACAAGTGCACTGTTTGCCAGTTGGAGAGTAGGGGAGGACCAGAGACTGGCTACACCCAACCTTGAAATTGGTAGGTCCCTGAGGTAGCTTAAACACTGAGCATCTAGCCTGGCCTCACACTGAGTCTCCATTCTGATCACACTTTAAGCCCTAACCCAGGTCATACATTGAGTATCCAGCCCGGTCACACACTGAGCCCTGATCTATTCACATATGGAGCTTGCTCCTGTTCACACACTGGGCCAGGCCTTGATTATACTTGGAGGTAGGCCTTCATCGCACACTGAGCCCTGGACCCTGTCCAGGTTTTACTGGCCTCGGGGCTGAAGACTGTGCAGGAAGGCCCATCTTGCTCCCATCCCCCCTTTCTCTCCCTGGGGAAGGAGGGCAGCTAGGCATGTCAGAAAGGGCTGGCCTGGAACAGACAGGCCCCCCATGATGCACCACCCCAGCCAATCTCAGCTTTCTTACAATGTGAATACTGGAACTTTCAGTGGCCAATTTTAAAAATGTCTCAGAATCACCCTAAAACAGCTGTGTCAAAGCCTTTTAGTCACTACTGTGGCATCAGGGCTTCCCAGGCCTGCCAAATCTCCCCAGTCACAGCAGAAATCCTCAGGACAAGTGGCCTCTGGGTACAACTGTTTGCTGTCTTAACTGTGCTAGTCCCTTGTTACTGCATCCTGTCACCTGCTTAGCTCACCTGAGCCTACTGGATGCAGACAGAACACTATGTTCCCTGGAGAGACCAGCATCATGTGAAAAACATCCAGATTCTGCAACCAGACTACCTACAGATCAAACCTTGGGGTCCGCCCTTCCCAGCTGTGAGATCACAGGCCCTGAGTCTTGGCATCTGTATGATGGGGGTGAGATCAGCCCTTAGCCACAAGCCTGTCATAAGGACTGTCAGGAGCTTGCTCATCACAGTATTGGATTAGGTGCCTGGCACGTTGTGAGTACTTGAGTTGAGTTGGGCATATGTATCTTCATACTGGGAAAGAGAGGCTGATGGGAGTCTGTCAGCAGACATTTGAGGGGGGGGGGATGTGGGGAGGCACTGTACCTCCCTGTACCTCCTGCCCTGGACTTGCTTCCCCCACACAATTAGCCGCTCTTGTCTCTAATTGATTCCTTTGGTGCTCACAGGACAATTAGAATTTAAATTGCCTTTTACAAAGGTCACAAAAACATGATCAAAGAAGAATCTATTAGAGGGGTGGGGGGCCCCTCCCTCCCAGCCTCCCAGAGCCTGCGGGTGGAGGCCAGGCCTTCAGGAGCCACCCCCACCTACACCTACCCTTTCATCACCTCGAAGTCTTTCCCAGGGCTTCCTGCTTCCTTCCTTCCCATGTGAAGGGCAGGGAAGGGCAGAGCCAGTCTCCAGCTGGGTTTTGCGGACTCCTTTTTGCCCCTTCCACATCTCCACCTTCCCTGTATCTCTCTCTCAGCACAGGGACTGCCATCCCCAGTGCTGTCCCTCAAGCTGTGCTTCAGGTGTCCTGGTCCTGTCCCTTGACAGCTGGTGACTGTAAGGATGTGTTTTGTCCGCGCTGAGAAGCCCATACATACATCTTGTTCCCTAAGGGTGGGTGGCTCCCCAGGGAGACTTCTTGACATTCTTCCCATTCTCAGATCTTGTCTTGTTGGCGTCCTCTAATTTTTCTGCCTTTACATGGAAGCTGGCTCAGGATATCTGTCCTCTGGGTCCCTCAGCCCTCAGTCCCTGGCCCATGGGTAAGGTGGCCCGTACCTACGTGGGGTCCAAGACAGATGCTGCCCACTCCCTCCACTGGCTCCTACAGAAGCCTGTACAGAGCTGGGGAGCAGGGCTTCAAGTTACAGGTCCAACTAATAGATTCAGAGGTTGGCTAGAAGAGAACCCAGGTTCCCACCACAAGGACTCCCACCTGCTGAGTTTAAGGGGACAGTAAGAAGCCAGGAAGAGCTGACTTCCTGGAGGCCTCCAGAATTATCTCCAAGTTCTGTCAGCCCCTTAGGCTCTCCTCCTGGGAAACAATGGCAGTGGCCACCTAGCCAGCCAGAAATAGGTACAGCTGCTTCTGGTGGTCTTCTACTGTGAAGTAGCCCACCTGGTAATTCCATCACACTTTGGAAAGGGAACAGGATCCACTGAGCACCTATGATATCCTAGCCCCTTCTCACCTCACAACAAACCCCACCTTCCAGCAGTCCTAATGCCACCCTTCCCTAAGGGAGGAGACAGACTCAGAAGAGCTGAACATCTTGTCCAAGGTCACATAGCAGAAGACAGACAGAGCTGGGATGCACATCTAAGCTTGCCTAGTTCAAACGGAAGCTCGGCAAGGCCCGGCTCCATGCTGACATTATTCATCAGGGGTACCGTAGACAGGATGTCACGTGGGGAGGAAGGTGTCGGGAACCCCACGTGACTTCAGGGAAGAACAGCAAAGCATTAGTATTCCTGGTCTCTCTGTCGTGGCCCAAGGTCAGGAGATATCATTGTTCCTCATTTAGAAGCAGGCGTGGGGCCTTGGGATGGAGAGGATTATGTAGATAATCCAGCCTGATTAGCAGGCCTGGTGGAACTTCATTTGGATGCCTGAGGAGCTGCTGCGGGCCTCAAGCTGCCAGTGCAGTCAATGAATGTTCTGCTCCCTGACCCAGCATGACAAGGATCTGCGGCCCCTGAGGAGGACCACATTGAAGCAAGATAGGGAGGGAGCCAGGCCCGTCTAGGAGTCGGGAGGGGATGGGAGAGGACCCACACACACCATGTGCCCCAAGACGGGAGCCTAGCAGAGCCATCTGACTGAACCTCATCTTAGAGACCTTCAGTCCTGCTGTAAGTGACAGTGTGGTTAGAGTTGGGGAGAGTCTGAGGTGCCTCAGAAGGGGAGACTAATCTTGTCTGAAACACCCTGAAGGGCAAGATTTTAGCCCCTTACAGACCCTGATCTCCACGGGACAGGCTTTCAATGCCTGAAGAACAAGGTCTCTCTGGGGTCATAAATTCCAGGGGCCTGGTGAGCAGGTTCACAAAGCTGTTGTGACAGCAGTGG